TTTCAACAGGGTGTGCATTTCTAGGAAGTTGTCTATTTCCTCTAGATTTTCAAATTCATTATGGTATAGCTTTTCATAATATTCCATTATTATTTCAGCTAGTTCTGTTGTGATGTCATTGCTTTCATTTTTTATATGAGTTGTGTCTTCTGTTTCTTAAGTTTGCTAGTGGTTTGTCTATTTTATTAACACTTTTGAAGAACCAGCTCCTGCTCTGACTGATGGTTTCAATTGTTTTTCTGTTTTCTATCTCATTGATTTCAGCTTTTGCAAGGACCTCTTTAAAGTGATAAAGAGCAAAGACATCAATTCAAAGACTAAGGTGCACCCTAACTCAAGCTATGATATTTTCACAGTATACATGTGAAAGCTTGACAGTGAATAAGGAGAACATAAAAATTAATACCTTTGAATTGACGGGTTAACAAAAAGTGTAGAATATACTATGCACTGTGAAAAGAACAAAACAAAGCTTTTCTTCAAAAATGTGTAACCAGGGTGCCCCTCTAGGCAGAAAAGAAGAGGAAGGCGCTCCACAAGATGCATTGGCATAATGATTGCAACAATGGCTCGGTGGAGACTATGATTATGGGTCAGGATAAGACCAGGTATCAATTTGTTGTACAGACGGTTGCTATGAATCAGAGTCAATGTGACAGCACTTACAATGACAATAACAAAAATAAGTATGAAGATAGGCCTCTAATGCAGTTCTGGCTGAAAACAAAGAATAAATTTGAAGAAGTAACCCTAATGCCATAAGCATTCCTCAATTGTATGTATATGCTGTGACATGTTACTTTCAGTGTGCTTTCAGATGAATTTCTACATATATTTTTCAAATTAATTTCTACACATATCTTTCCTTATTTAGAAATTGGTCAAAATCCAAGCAGTGGATCCTAGCACTTTTTGATGAAAGCATCCCAGACATTAAAACATCTAGGCCTTCAAAACCTGAAGCTATGGTAAGTGCTCATGTTTCGGATAGAATATATGAGATGAAGAGAGTAGTAAAATAACAGCTAAAACTGTACTTTTGCTGAAAAAGAATGAGATTAATAAGTACCATTTTTGTGCCAAGCATTGTGCTGAGTATGTTTACACTTTTTATTATTATATTTTTAGAACAATGATGTAGTGTGTCACCATTTGGTCTGTTAAACCATCAGCTGCTTTAAGGGAGAAAAATGAAAAATCTCCTCTCATAAAAACTTACAGTCTCACAAGCCTAATAAATGCCATGAGTCAAAATGGACTCAAAGGCGGTACGTTTGGTTTTCCCCTCTACACAGAAAAACAAAATTGAAACTACAAAAATAAAACAAGATTGCTAGAATTTTTTACAGATTGAGAAATCATCATACAGTTGACTCAGTCAACAGTATGGGAATAATAGCAAATTCAGTTCAACTTACCTCAGTCAAATTGGAACCAACTCATAGTTGATTCTCAAGTGGATTTGCAGAGTCTATAAATCAGGTGGAAGGGGGATGTTCCAGATCTTCCCTCAGGGCTGCTAGTAGAAATTTAGAAAATGATAGTAAAGTTCTACATAGAAGGACTTGCTGCCCCTTCCATTAGATGTTTTTCTTTTCAAATGCAAGAAGATAATGTATAATGACATACAAAGTGAGTTTGTAGCTGGGCTAAGAATTCACCAGCTACTGCTTGGGAGAAAAATGGCCAGTTCATTCTCTTTTTTTTAGTTGCAAATCAGAAACCCACAGGAGTGTTCCTATGAGTTGAAATGGACTCATTCACAGTTAATTTGAGTTTTGAGGAAGTCATGTCCCAAGTAGTCTCCCAAGTATATCCTTAGACTGGCAGCCCCAGCATCATTGGAGAACCCCTTCATTCAGAAATTGGAGTGGAGCCCAGAAATCTGTGTTTTAACCAAACCTTCTTCATGTGATCTTGCTGTTCTCTGACATCTGAGAACCTCTTCTCTGGGTGAATTGCTTGTCAGCCCTACTTGTTGAGAGCACCTCTGGAAGAGCTTTTGAAAGCTATCTGATGCCCAGGTTCATTTTCAAAGGCAGAATGCATTTCGTCTAGATGGTCTAGCTCAAATCTAGTCGTTAGTTGTACTGCTTTGGGCATGGTATTTAACTTCTCAGTCTCATCAGTCTCATTTGTTAATTGAAGTTTATTATTAACCTACTTCGTAGTTGTGTGGGTTAAATGAGTTAATACTTGTACATACTTAAGAACAAGGTCCCCTCGATTTGCAATCGAGCCTATTCTACCGTGTTAGAGTAGAGCCTCAAAAGCTTTTAAATGAGTCCTTTTTCAGAAGTAAATCACCAGTTCTTTCTTCACATTCACCTAACTAGCCAAATCGAAACCCTGGTCTTTTTCAATTATTTCATATGCATCTGAAAGTTGGACAATGAATAAGGGTTACAGAATGTATTATTGATGTATTTGAATTGTATGGCATTGGTTATCAGTCCTGAACATCCCATGGTTTGTCAAATTAACAAACATGTCTATCTTGGAAGAAGTGGAACCAGGGTGCTCCTTTGGGGCACAGATGTGAAACTTCATCTCACATGCTTTAAGCATCTTGTTAGGAGATCCTTGGAAAAAGAGGTCATCATGCTGGGGAAAGTGGCGGATCAGGGAATGAGAGGAAGAACTTCAACAAGATGTATTGACACTGTGATGTTAACACTATGCTTCAGCATGTCAGAGATTGTGAGGATGATGACACAGGGTAAGATCAGGCTCCTGTCTGTTGTTCATAGGGTCTCTATGAGTCAGAATTGACTCAAGTGCGCATAACAGCAAACTACACTTGAACTTACAACTTTTCATTGGCAGTTGAGCACATTAACAAGAGATACTTGGTGGTACACAGAAAGTACCAGATTTAAGAATGTATTATTATTGTTGTTATTATTATTACAATCAAATAAAACTGCTAAAATATTTTCAAATTTATTGAAAATGTCCAAAGTTTTCATTTTTCAAGTTATGTAGCAAGTATAGTTATAAATAACTGCTTGTTGCTGGAGAGGAAGACAGTGTTAGGAGAAAGAGAAAGTGTATGTGGATATTTCAGTATCTTCCCCCTGACTACAGTGCACCCTCCCCTCATTGACATAGTAGGTTTCAGCTAATGTTTCTGTTTCACAAGTTAACTTCAAGTAACATACATTTTTGTTTGCAGTTATTTTCCGACAATTTGGAGGCAAGTTGGGATACAGATAAAAAGAGCATTGAGGTAGATCTGCAATTTAAAGGGTTTGTAAAGCTTCAGTTAAAACTCCGTTCTAATACTTCTTCTAGAACAGTCTATTTTTCTTACTGTAATAAAGAAATGAGATCTTTTAAAAGCGTCGATCGACATTCTTATCTTAATAAAGACCAAATTTAAACTTTCCTATGACTGCAGCCTTCAGTATGGACTGAGGCTCAATGTCAAGAAGACAAAGATTCTCACCACTGGACCAATTGGCAGC